TGCGAATCAAGCGGAAGACCCAATACTATTATGGGCTACTGGACTCTTTTAGAGTATTTTGCTGAGTTTACACACCTATAATATTCAAATAACAGAACTTAAGAAGAAAAGGGGACACAGATGAATTTCCATTTTGTATCTGTGTATTCAAAGTGGTTAGGATAGATATATAGTTACATTCTCTTAATGAATAGAGGGATTTGTTCCAATGGTGTTTGTAATAGGATATCATGTCCGCATCTTGTACAGCAATTAACCACTAGGAAGAATGCATGCAATGTGTGAATTATTGAAACTGTCCTACCGACTTGATTTGAAACTGTCTCATTGCTATTTGTTTCTCAATAAAATAATTGAAAAAAAAAAAGAATCTATGGGGCTGGAGATGGCTCAGTGGTCTAAAGCACCTACTTAGAACAAGCTTAGCAAAGCACAGGGACTGCAGATCAATCCCCTAGCATCACATGCCAGTCAGCCCCACCCCCTGGTGGGTTGAGCTGCCCCCCCCCACATAAATAAAATTTAAAAAAAATCTACAAATGCAATTACATCAAATTAAAATCTGTGCAGCAAAGCAAAAAACAGATTGAAGAGACAACATAAAGAATGGGAAAAATGTTTTGCCAGCTACTCCTGATAGAGAACTTATATTAACATATAAAAGAATCTTGTATAAAAATTACTATAACATCCCCCCAAATAAAAAAACTGTCAAAAAATGAGCAAGAGAAATTAATAAACATGTCTCAAAAGTAGAAATGGCCAACAAATACATGAAAAAAATGTTTCCCATCTCTGGCCATTAAGGAAATTCAATGTAAAAACAACCCTGAGATTCTATCTTACTCCCAAAAGAATGGCTATAGATTCCTTCACACCACATCAAGAAATCAAATAACAAAAGTATGCAAGGGTACAGGGGTAAGGTTGGTATGTGACATGTTTCTATATTCTTAATAGGAATGTAAATGGTACAGTCACAATGGAAATGAGTATGGAAAGACCTCAAATAACTAAAACTAGAAATTCCATTCAACTCACCTACTTCCCTTCTAGGTATCTTCCCAACAGAGTTAAAGGCATCCTATTACAGTGTTACATGCACAGCCATGTTTATAGCAGCACAACTTATGATAGCTAAATTTTGGAAGTTCCCTATATGCCCATCAACAGATGACTGGAGAATGAAAATGTAGCATTTACACAATGTAGAGTACTAAACTGCAATAAAGACCAAGTGAGTCATTTTCAGAAAAATGGATGCAGTTTGAGACCATAAAATTAAGTGAAATAAATCAGATACACAAACTTAAGTACTGTGTTGTTTCTTTTATATGAGAAACCCAAAGTATAAATAAAGGTGCAAAATAAAAAGCAGGTAATAGGAAAACAGGCAGATAGATCTTTGAACATGGGGTAGATCTTTGATCAAGAGACGGGAAGGAAAAGTGGATGAGGGGACATTAAAAGAATTAAGATGTGTTATGTCTATGTATCAGCTCTCCACGATGAACATAATCATTATGTACTGCAAAAAACGTACATAATTAAGCTAACAAGATAAAATGGTATGAAGATGTTCCACCTCACAATTTACAATTATCAGTAATAGACTATGAAAAAAGTGGTGAAAGAACTTTATTATCTTTCTAAAATCGTAACTCAGATAAAACAAGCCAACTAGAAGACAACATTATGCAATGTGTTAATTACTGAAACTGTCCTACTAATCAGTTTTGAAACTGTCTCAATGCTGTTTCTCAATAAAATTTTAAAAAACCAAGCCAACTAAACAGTTAACTCTTCTGTTTTAAAAGAATCAAATAGATGTTCCTCAAATAAATACATGTCCACAATACATATCTCTAGAACCGTGTCAAGAAACTATTACTTTATGTATGCAGTAGTACACTTATTTCTAATAAAATTCATTTATCTAAAGAAAGAAAGAAATTACCTGATTTGTAGGCATTTTCGGCACATTCACCTTCCACATCTGGGCTTCTCTAGAGATTGCCTTTTCCAGTAAAAAAGACAATCTGTGGTTTTCCAAAGGGACTGGAAACTTCATGATATCCTTTGGATCTGCCTGTCACCCAGTTTGATGCAACTACCTATAAAGTCAAATATTAATAAAGCTTATTACTTAATTATAAGATCATATACACATAAAGTATGCTGATATTTATTAAACAATTCACAAGGCGAAATAAAAATGTTATAAGGCAATATAAGACTTTACAACCCTTTAAAATATATTAAAGTATTATAATAATCAGTTATCTAAAATACTCTCATTTTAAATCTGAGATTCAGTCACAAAGAGAACAAAAACAAAGCTGTATAAGAGAACCCTCGAACTCTGAAAAATTACTACCAAAAGTTTAAGTCATTGCTTTTTTTTTTACTTTTATTTTTATTTTCTTTTGCATTTTAAGGAAGGGTCTGCAGGATGTTCAGGATCTCACTACTAGATCGGACTCGTAGTGATCTGCCTGTTTATAGCCTCCCGAGAGCTGGGATTACAGGCATGCCACCACACGCTCAGTCTCAACTGCTGTCTCAGGGAGCCCTGGCGGTAGGGCCAGAAAGGCAGGCCCGGGGATCGAACCTCTGGCCCCTGTGCCTGCTTGCAGGTGCTTTAATCTGCTGAGCTATTTGGCCAGCACAGTTGCTTTTTAATACTGGGAATGTTTAGAAATCTTTGTCTTAAAAATTCCTCCTAAAAAATAGCCATTAGTTTTTCATTTGAAACAGTTGTTCGCCATTAATTAAATCCAATCTACTCCCACTTCTTCACAATGTAACAATCTCAAACTGTGCTTCAGGTCTGGGGGTATACCACTGAGCTATACCCCGGGGTTTAACCCTCAGCATGGAGGGAAAAAATTGTATGTTCACAGGTGCCTATTTAAATTTGAACTGAATTGTTAAAAATAGACCTAAAGCTCTACTTCAATGATGTGGCTAAAACAGATACTATAATGGACAACACAGAAAAGGAATCTTTCTTTCAACGCAGAAAGTTCTACTGGTCAGCATTTGATCTAAAAAGCTCAGAAGAGTTACTGGTCCTCTAAAAAGTAACAGCCTACATCAGGGCAGACAACTTAGTTCAAGAGAGATGTTTCTGGATTAAAAAATAATAATGAAACAAACTTATGGATTTGAGAAGTTTGTGATAAAAAAAAAACTATATTGAGAAGTTGCTAAAGAATATGAAAAGAGATTTATTCTTGAAAGCTAAACAACTAAAAAGGCAATTTCACAAAAAAAATTCTACAAGAAAGTAATTTATCACAAGATTTACCTAACAGTTAAGATACCAAATATAAAGATTTCAAAAACATTGTGAAAAGGTTATGTTGGAAGGATAAGACCAAGTGTGAATGTTAGGTTTTAAAATGAGAGCCTTATCTTTACATTTAACAGCAGGAGCACCAGATACCTAAAACTATATACCAAAATACAGCAATAGAACAAGTTACTTGAAAATGTGATCTTAATTAACAAGAGAAACAGGTGACAAATTGTTATGGTTTTTGTCTAGACTTTCCCCAAAGCCTCATGCAGTCATGGGGCAGGCTTCTAGAGTATGTGATTAACTTATGATCCAATGCTGGGATTATGGGTGTGAGTGCTACCCCCACCCTGAGACAGTCTAAAGGCATACAAGGAAGGAAGAAGAGCTTGCTCTCTGCCTCTCTGTTCCTCCCTTTTTGGTCCAGCTGTTTTCTGCCACCATGAACTGTTGCCCTCTGCCATGTACTTGTCTCTGCCTTGGAGTCAGCCAAGTATGGACTGAAATCTTAATTTTAGCTATCAAATATTTTGTCCCAGCAGCAAAAGAAAAGTAACCGAGACAAAAGTTCAAGAAAGTTAACTTCCAGAGAGAAGGGACAGAAGGAATTGGAGCAGGGAACTGCTGTCTTCTATTATAAACCTACTATAGGGGCTGGTGAGATGGCTAAGTGGTCTAAAGCACTCACTTAGAACAAGCTTAGCAAAGCACAGGGACCGCGGTTCAATCCCCCAGCACCACATACCAGCCAGCCCCGCCCCGTGGTGGGCTGAGCTGGCCACACACACACACACACACAAATTAATTAATTAATTAATTAATTAAAAGAAAAAAAACCTACTATAACTAAAGTTTTCAAGCTGCTCAGCACTTGGGAGGCTGAGGCAGGAGAAGAGCCATCAGTTCAAGGCACATCTGGACTATATAGCAAGTCTCCACCTCAAAACAACAAAAGTTTTCAACTATTTATGTATTTTTATTATATGCTACAGGTTGTGATTTTTGGAATGTCTTTAACTGTCCAAAATTAACATGTTTTTCATAAAATTTAAAATATGAACAAATAAACCTCTTTTAATTTCCATATTCTTCCCCAATTTGAGATAACTATCCTCTTTCCTGCTATACCACATACTCCACCTACTTACTGATAGACTACTTCATTTAACTGGCTTATGATTCTCTCTTTTTCTGTTTTGAGTCTGGGTCTCACTCTGTAATTCAAAATGGCCTTGAACTTATGGTGGCACTCCTCTGCCTCAGGCACCTCAGTGCTGGAGTTACAGTTGCATACCACAGAACTCGTATTTTTCTTCTTTAAACTTTGGAGTTTTTTTCAACCTTTCTATAGTGAACGTGAAATATTATCTTAACTTAAAAAAAGGTAAGTGAACAAAAAGAATATCTGTCATAAGACAAGCAAACTTCCATCAGTTCTTGATTCTCTCTCTAGTTAGATGTCATTTCTTTTTCCTTGAGAGCAGTTTTCCATTGTCTTCCTAATTAACTTAAGTTCCTCTGAGATCATATTTGCCAGTATCAACTTTTTGTTACACACGGTGCCCACAGCACAAACTACAGATAGAAGAGGGACTCCACACAGTTTAAGTTTAAATGGGTCAAAAACAAAAGCATACAACCACAAACTAAACAAAACACCCAAATGAAACTGGTTTCACAGTCAATCCTTTAAATATTTGAAGGCTGCTACCAAGCTCACTGATTCATCTTTTTCACAGTTGAGAAACTGTTCCTCATGTGACCTTTTGGCTCTCCAATTCTACACTTTCAATTCTGATAAAATTTATGATCAACTAAACTTTTTTGCTGAGATAGGATCTCAATATATAGTTCAGGCTGGCCCTGAACTCATTAAGCAGCCCAGGCAGGGAGTGATCCTCCTGCCTAAGCCTCCAGAGTGCTATCATTACAGACATGTGCCACCAGACCCAGCTCCAACTAAACTTTTAAGATTTTCTCAAGTTCATTGTGAGGCCAACTCCATCCGCCTCTACCCCACTTTAGTGTGTGTGTGTAGGAGGAGGATCTTTGTGGGGGAATATACATCCTTGTTTAGAATCAAGGGTATTCTTTCTTTAAAAGCAAAAGTTATCTTATTAGATTTCATACACAGTTGTATTTTGCCAAGATGTTCTAATTTTCCAATTTTGTTACTTAGTACTTGTCTCAGCTCTTTCACAATTTGATGGGGAGGCTCATCGTAATTTCATCTAAAGTAATCATAAATACTAACTTCAGAGCTGCACTGTAAATAACAGACTACCATCCATCAAAAGATACTTACAAGACTGTTAATATTAGATTAATGCTTTGTAGGTTCTATGATTTCTTCGCAATCTAATTTTAGTCTGTAATGTTTGAACTCTCATCAAAAACATCAAATTTCAGTAATTTTTCCATGCCACTGGTTGCCCCAAACAGGAGAGCTCACCAGAATTCATCAGTTTTCTCAACACAATCCAACAAATGCTGTCACTAAGCATTATTCTCTCCTTACAAAACTTCTTAGTTTTATGTCTGGCAAGTATACATGAGGACAGAGCGCAACATCTACAACAGAATCCTATAAATACCTGGGAGGCTGAGACAGAAAGGATGTCCTAATTTGCCTGCGCTACACAGTGAGTTCAAGACCAGTCTGAACTATATAGCAAGACCTTGTCTCAAACTCACTCTCTCTCTCTCTCTCTCTCTC